AAAATACAATTTTACCGCTAGATGGGAGAAATTCCTACACAGTGTCCCTTTAAAGTAACACCAGGGAACTTTTGCTCTCGGGGTGGGGTCCCCCTACAGTTGGGAAACAGTATTGTCCTCTCGACCTCTACTACTGTCGTAAACTCTGTCATCCTACATGCACGTGCAATTGTTGACAACCATGATAGCCCTGAACACTGTAGGAGGTCACATGCAGGTGTTCTGCTTGCGTCGCGTGTGAAATGTCTTCATCCCAGGTACAGTGGCATATATTTCAGCATGTCATATGAATATAATTTCATGGGTTTTATTTTTTCTAACGACAAATGATCGCGATGATCACGTTTACAAGCCAGCGTCATTATAGTAGCCTATTGGTTACCGTTTTACCGTTTTACTGAATCTATATGATACTTCAATGCAATGTTTGAGTGGTTGATAATAACCATATATCGTCAATATTATAATATCAAGCTACCATAAATGAATCTGCAAATTTTACAAATCAATTTGCATTATAGCTTGAGGCAAGACAAATAAACAAATATCACAGACATGTTAGGTATCCTAAAATATGATTTTGTACATCTTATATATTTACTTGCAAGAATGTAGCCCCTACCAAACTTGTGCATGCCGTTTAGACACAGGCTTTCATTTGATTATTATTTTTTTTTTTGCCAAGTCCGCATCGGTCGGGCACCCCTCCTCCTCCTTCAGCTCACGCCAGCGAGAAAATGCTGGCCCAATGTTGATCCTCGTTCTGCCTTTAACGCGATCACTTTCTCTTTTTGCTTTGCTCCGATAAAACCTTTGCTTTCTTGTTTTTCTGTGCTGCCTCGGCCATGACTATAACATTTGGCTCGCACGTCCGATTTTAAGGAAGTGGGGGTGGTGGTGGAAGTGACGTATATGCCGTAAAGCAGTCGAATTTTGTAGTTCTCTTTGTTCGCCGGTTACTACCCAAAACCCGAAGTTTAAAAGTACGATTAAAAACGCTACAGACCCCGTCAGGCTATGGTAGACGTGTCATTCAACCTATTGTAAGTCGATGTACCATCACAAGAGACTTGGAAATATATTATGAAGGTTGAAAAGTAACCTAGTGCTGCTTTAAATAGCTTGAATGCAACTCTACACCCTTGCTTCATTTAGTATACGCGGAGTCGCGGACCCATGAATATGCTAATTAGCCCCGTCGCCTCCACTCACGTCAGACGCCAGCTCAGAGATTCACTCGGCTAACGTTACCTTACTGAGGTAAAGGTTGCACAATGGTATCGCTCTTTACAACATCGGTAATTAACATAATTAGCCTTTTGCTTCTATGTCTATCATATTATGGAGCTAATAATATGACAAAATGATTTGAATTTGAATTGTGTAAATTTGAATTATTTGCAAGTGTAATCTAACAAAACTGAATTTTAAATAGTTCTGAATTTGATTTTTTTTGGAACGAATATTGAACATCTGAAATTTAACAAACTGAAAGGTTTTTATGGCTGAATTTTATAGACATGTATTTTCAAACAGCTAGTTTTTGTGTTCTGAATTCAAATAGGCCTACTGCAAAATTTCAGTTAAAAAAATACGGATTCAAGTTTTCAAGATGAAGAAATTCGGAACGTCAAATTCAGTTTTCTAAAATTCAATGTCAAAAAAATAGTCCCTGGCCGTGAGCAGCAGCATAAGTTAAAATATTTCGCCTGTAATGTTAGATGGCGGCAAAGACAGTCTTTATTACTGAGTCAGTCATCAGTCAGTAGAGAAGACTTTAATATTGAAAGGACAATTGCATTATGTAGGCATTATGTATAAAACCGGGTCATCTCAGTTTGGTTGAAGGCTTTTGGTGATTTTACTTAATGAAAGTTGCACTAATACATTTTTGTTTTGCTCGCGCCGCTCGCATCCTGTCTGTGTAGTAGACACGGTGGCGTTCTAATCAATTTTACACAAAATATTACACAAAATATACTTTAAAACAAACACCAGAGACCGCTTAGACAAATGTATCACGTGCTGAGAACGCTAACCTAACAAACACAAAATCATTCTTGTTTAACTTACCTCCGGGCGATTCATGATCAGAGTCAGAGATCATCTACTCTTCCCTGTGACCTACTTTCTGTAAGACCTGAATTTTTGACATTGAATTTTTGACATTGAATTTTAGAAAACTGAATTTGACGTTCCGAATTTCTTCATCTTGAAAACTTGAATCCGTATTTTTTTTAACTGAAATTTTGCAGTATTTGAATTCAGAACACAAAAACTAGCTGTTTGAAAATACATGTCTATAAAATTCAGCCATAAAAACCTTTCAGTTTGTTAAATTTCAGATGTTCAATATTCGTTCCAAAAAAAATCAAATTCAGAACTATTTAAAATTCAGTTTTGTTAGATTACACTTGCAAATAATTTAAATTTACACAATTCAAATTCAAATCATTTTGTCATATTATTAGCTCCATATGTTATCAACAGCTAATAATGTCTAGCTAATGTTACACAAACCATATTTCCGTTTGTCATCTCAGAGTCAGGCATCAGTCTTCTAACAATCATCAGAAACGCTTTGAACAACTCAGAACACACGCTATATTGCTAAATCTACCCGATTTTTCATATCAACAGAAAATATAAGGCTACCTGGACATCCTGGACCCCCCTGTTGGTACGCTGTTAATGATATACTAAAGCCCGCCGGGACCTTGACATGATTGATTACAAGCTAGTTTGTGACGTCAGATTTCAAACCACGATTTTGAGACTGTCTTTGGTTCACTGCAGTTTTAATGAGAAAATACTCAGCAATGGTGTTGACTTATGATTTTGCACATGGTTTGTCTTAAAGCACATTAAAGACAACACAAAGACAAATAGGCTAACATTAAAAACTTGATTTTCACCACAGGGGGACATTAAAAAAAACTACTACTACTAGCCTACTACAATGTTCATCACACTCAGTGTGTAAACAGCAACGTTGAATATGATAAACTTGTTAAAAATTGTTTAATTAACAATAAAGAGTACTCATATCCCATAATCCATCGCAATGATAACCATGAGCTAGTGTTCTGTTGCCTTTGCAGCTTTTACAAAGTGTCATTTTAGTGCTAGCTATATAGTGCTGACATTACATTCTTTGAAAGTCATTTTAGTCATTTAGCACTGTCCCCTGAAAGAAGATAGATTTATTTATTTATTAATCTCAGATTGTGTTAGACACAGCAACATTTTATTGATTTATGTAAATAGGGAAAGAAACACAGTGATCATTGACATTTTCATTGGCTGCGGTGAACAGTATTGACAAACTCTTTGCCTAGACTGTCAATGTGTACATTTTATTTTTATCTAGTTTTAGCAACGATAATCGTCTTATATAAAGAACATAAATGGATTTTATTACACGGCTGACTCACAGGAATACCGGATTCTGATTGGTCAGTGGTAGCATTCTGCAGGTAACAATGATAAACTGCATAAATTAACATTTTAAAACAAGACATCACAGGTGGATAGGGTCATTTTGGGGTATTTATTATTATACCCTAATTATTAAACATTGCCATACTTCCCCAGTTAATTAATCACAGTACATTAAGACAAAAAATGTTATATTACAACTTTTCTGCAATGTTATGTTCAAATATGCAAATTAGGCAGTATCTAATTAAAATGCATATATTACTGCAGTCAAATCGATTAATCGCATCTAACATATATACAGTATATATATATATACACACACATACACTCACATTATATATTCACAAACATTTATGTTAGATGTGATTAATTGCGATTAATCGATTTGACAGCACTAAAACACACACACACACACACACACACACACACACACACACACACACACACACACACACACACACACACACACACACACACACATCCACGAGTCCCATGACAGATATTTTTATTATTATTATTTACTGAGTAAGTAGTAGTGTAATAACGTTCATGTCCAAGTCCTGATCACCCTGTCTGGGTTTATTTTGCGATAATCACTGACTCACTGTAAATAATCTGTCATTTATACTTATACACAAATATTTGGATCAGGAATGTTGTGCTGTTTTCTACATTACTGAGCAGTTTTCGGATCTAAACCCAAGAGGGAAAATCCTCTAGGCATGGCTGCTTTGCCATGTTCAAGTCTCTAAACCCAACACCACGTGTTGAACTTCCTCTTCGGGTCAAAGAGTCAGAGCACGGCTTCCTGAATGTCATTAACAGCCATCCTTCTCCCAACTTTACCCACTGCCCCAGGTTCCCGCAGGTTCCTCCATGATGCCTTTTGCAGCACACGGCTGGCATCTCTGATGGCCTTGTCGGCGGCGCGCTGACCCTTGCCCGGGCCGCCTGAGGCCTGTTTGCTCTCATCACCTGTAGAGGAGCTGGATTTGCTCTGATCCTCCTCTAGCAGTCGGGTCCTTCGCAGTCTTAGACGCCTCTTATCTGCATCCTGGGTTTTAGCTGGAGCAGCTGATTGGCTGTTGCCGTGCTCTGATTGGCAGTTGTTCTCAGGAGGATGTGCCGAGCGAACTGACAGATTACCTTTCCCTCGCCCCGCCTCCTTCCCCGCTGGCCTATCAGAACCAAGCTTGACTTGATTGACAGGTAGCAGTGGTTTGTGGGGCACTGTGATGGTACTCAGCAGGGAGCGTTCTGGTGACTTGGCCGGGCCGTCCTGCCAACAAACCTTTTCTTTTCTTGGATACGCCCCCCACGAATTATAGCCCGGCGCTTTGGCCTGCTGAGCACTTCTGATCTTCTGCCACTGTGCCTCTCTCACCTCTAGGGGGAGCTCTAGCGGGGCAAGTTTCAGAGGGCGTCTCATGGGGAGATTCTCAGCCGCTTTCTCTTGCTCTGAGGGCTGAACAGGGGCTCTACCCTGATCCTGTGTGGAGGAGGAAGAGGAGAAGGAGGAGGAAGAAGAGGAGAGCGTCATGTGACCTGGCTCCTCAGCATGTGTCGGTAACAGATGGAGGGCAGGTGTGCGTGAGAGACCGCCCTTGTTAGACACCAGCTGAATACCACAGCCACTTAGATGGATCATCGCATTTTTCCCCTGGCAGGTCAAACTTTCCTGAATCTTCAGCACACACACACACACACACACACACACACACACACACATGCAAAAGTGTGACATTTACATGCAGTTTTCTATGACACGTTTTTTTATGAAAAAAATCTTATACACACTGCCAGTGGAAAGTTTGGACGGACTGATTTTTTTCTTATGATGTTAAAAACCTAAATGCTTCAAATTTGCTTTGTGGATACAAAATAATTGTGCATAAATAGGAATTTCTTTATTCTTTTTTAATGAATGAGTTGGAACACATAATGGAGGAAATAAAGTGTCCAGCAAACTCTTTTAAAAAAAACATTCCAGGATGCACTTCATGCTTTAAAGAAGCTATATATTATATATATTTCATACTTAACTATATATATATATATATATATATATATATATATATATATATATATATATATATATATATATATATATTGGTATTGTAAATATAATTTCATTCAATTTACAAAAAGAGGATGAAAACAATAGTCATGTTTAAACTATATGGAATATATTTTTATTTTATTTTGCAACTGCGTCTTACAAAAATCATTGTAGTATTTAATCAAATTAAATAAGAAACATTTACCCTCAAGTTAAACATGAATATTGATATTTTCTCTTTATTACAGTAGCATTGATACACTCCACAGAATGTTTGATTAAATGAAAACAATAATTTCCTCTAACAATTCAGTCACAACTACACAGATGAATATAATATAATAGAATAGATTATATTAGAATAGAATAGAATGCTTATATACTCACAACTGATGCCATAATTTCCTGTGTGTGTTTTTGCCGAATCATCAGGCCGTGTGTGTTTGTTTTGTTCCTCTGTCCTGCACGAGACTGTGACTTTGCAGAGAGAGAGAGAGAGAGAGAGAGAGGTTGCATTAGACTGACAACTGTCTCAGTGATTTCTCAGTAAGATCCTTATGAGGATTGGGGTCAGTGTGCAGGTGTGTTGTGATCTCTGCTGATGTAAAAGCCACATGGTCTTGGATTTTCAAATGTTCAGTAGAGAATGTGATTATATTGTCAGCAGGCACTAGATGGCGCTACTGACTGCAGCCTCAAACGTGCATGACTGTGGAAGGGAACACCTTACTACTGACTGAATGCTGCACACTGGACTGTACACTGCCTACAATTTGTTAAAAAAAAATAGGCTACTGTATGTTTAAAGTAACAGTTATTGTTTTGTATGAAATCATAGAGTTGGGTTTTGGACTCGGACTGCCATTATGAATGAACTTGGACTCGGACTCACTCAGGTGGACTTGAAGCAAACTCTGACATTTTAGACTCCGAAATGTTGGTAACACTTTGTTTTTCAGTGTCCTTGTTACACGTTACATGTACTTACCATACTAATAAGAGTAAATTATGGATAATTACATCCAACTAACCCTAAACCAAACCCAATCAACCCTATAGTAAGTAGCTGTTGGTAATTAATATTAGTTACGCTATAACAATGACGCCTTTATAAAGTGTAACCGATTTTTTTTTTTTGCAGTGTAGTCGAATCCACATCACTTGTAACATGAAATAAAATAAGTAACAACATAAAATTAGATAATAAGACATTAAACATCAACTCAAACTCAATTGGTTAAGGGCTTATAGACTCGACTCGGACTTGACAAGGTGGACCCAACACTATTAAATCAATTGGATTAATTAGCATTGTTTAATTTTAACAAATATCGAGTCAAAATATAAATCATAAATGCTTTTAGAATTGGAAACAAAGGTCAAGTTGAGCGTATTGCATTGTGAAATACAGTTTTGTTTTGTTTTGCATTCAGCATATTTTGGCAAATTATTCTGCATTATTCTAACATTTCTTTATTATCTGGGTATAAACAAGAGATCAAATCTAAATCGACACATGTGGAAATGTAAAGCAAGCAAATGATCCCCAGTTTGACGATCTTACTCTCCATTTGTGATGTGGAATGAGATATCCAGTGGCCTAATCTTCTGTAAAGTCCTCATAGTCACCCTGAAATCCTCTTCTTCCATGCTGGGGCTGATGGGATTATATGTATGGCTGTGGTGTTGAGTGAGAGCTGATCCTGGTGACCCAGAGCAGGGAAAGTGCTGTCATAATCCAGACAGAGCTAAGCGCTGCATGGGGCGCGACAGCCTGAAAAAGCAAGCTGACCACATATTCGCACGGGCATGAGTGCAGAGACACCGAAATTGGTTTCAAAAGGGCAATGGGCTTAACGAGCATCAGTGCTGCACAGGCTCTCAAATCTGGGGAAGAATTGTAACAATCTGCCTGAAACCCCACGCCTTCAAGGCAGCCAGATCCATCTGTCCTTATCCGCGCACGATGTGATTGTTCAGATGGAACCAGCTGATAATGGTGCTTTTGTGTGCATTTCCTTTCTCCATTTTCATTTTTGCTCTGGTTCACACAATATTGTTGGGCTGAACTACTGATAACACATTCACTTCAAAGTCATCACAGGTGAGATGAACATGACAGACTCTGAATACATACACTACCGTTCAAAAGTTTGGGGTCGGTACGATTTTAAATACTTTTAAAAGAATTCTCTTCTGCTAACCATGGCTGCGCTTATTTGATTAAAAATACAACAAAAATCAGTTATAGTATTAAATATTATTCCAGTGTAAATCAGCTGTTTTCTGTGTGAATATATAGTAAAGTGTAATTTATTCCTGTGATCAAAGCTGAATTTTCAGCATCACCAGAGTCAGTGTCTTCAGTGTCAAATGATCCTTCAAAAATCAGTATAATATGAGGATTTGATGCTCAAGAAAAACATTTATTATTATTATCAATGTTGAAACAGTTGTTGGTCTGTCAGTTGTACAGTTTTTTTTTTTTTTTTTTTAGGATTCTTTGATAAATAGGAAGTTCAAAAGAACAGCATTTGTTTGAAATAGAATCTTTTGTAACATTATAAATGTCTTTACTGTCCTTGATAAATAAAAGTATTGATTTCTTTCCTCCAAAAAATAAAAATAAAATTCTCACTGACCCCAAACTTTTGAACGGTAGTGTACATTTAGCTTATTTAAAAATGTGTAAAATGAGTATTGCTCAGTGGTTGCTGGGTTCTGCTGGATGGTTGACAGGTTGTTACTAAGGTGTTCTGTTTGTTTGACAGGGCGGTGCTGGCTAAGATGTTCTGGGTGTTGCTAAGCATCTGCCAGGGTGTTTTTAGATGGCTGCTCGGGTGTTACTAAGGTGTTCTGGGTGGCTGCCAGGGTGTTGAGAGGTGGTGGCTAGGGTGTTCTGGGTTGATGCCAGGGTATTGCTAAGTTATTCTGGGTGTCTTCCTGGGTGTTGCTAAGTGGTGGCTAGTGTACCTGATTGCCAGGGTGTTGCCAAGTTGTTCCTATGGTGTTCTGGGTTGATGCCAGGGTATTACTAAGGTGTTCTGAGTGGCTGTCTGGGTGTTGCTAAGTGGTTACTAGGGTGTTCTGCATGGCTGCCAGGGTGTTGCTAAGTGGTTGCCAGGGTGTTCTAGGTTGATGCCAGGGTATTACTAAGGTGTTCTGGGTGGCTGCCAGGGTGTTGCTAAGTGGTGGCTAGGGTGCTTGGCTGCCTGGGTGTTGCTAAGTGGTGGCTAGGGTGCTTGGCTGCCTGGGTGTTGCTAAGTGGTTGCTAAGGTGTTCTGAGTTAATGCCAGGGTATTACTAACACCTTGTCTACACGCGATGCGACTAAAAACAATAAAGCTTATTAGAAACAGTGATTCTGACCTACATTGGATGCACCGCGACGTGAGCGACAAATCTCATACAGTAAACTGATGCTCGTTCTATTTATAACGTACTGACAAATGCTTTGCAACTGGCACTTTTTCGCGTCCAGTGTAGACAGCCATTAGCTGTTGCGGCACGACTTGACAAGAGCGACGACCGTCGCATCCGGTGTAGACACGGAGTAAGGTGTTGTGGGTGGCTGTCAGGATATTGCTGAGTGGTTTGTTCTGAGTGATTTTCACTTGTTTTATCATCCACCAAGTGAAAAATAAGCTTGATCTGAAAAGACAAGTGAAACAATTGGAATGTTTAGTATAATTCTAAGCTGTCATTTCATGCCCCAAAATTGTCCAATTCTCTTTCATCACCAGGTGCAACACATTACACACAATTTCTTCAAGCTCACAAAAGTTGTTCTCACAGCTTTCTCAAGATGTTTCCAGTCATCCTACTAGAGAAAAATACGGTTTTCTTCTCAGATGCCTGGTGGAGTTCATTGTATGTGTCTCAGCCTGAAGTTGTTTCTGCTGAAATGTCAAACACCTGTAGTGCAAAGAGAAAAAGAGGTTATTACAGCAAAGACGAGAATCTCACAGGGTTTGTGACGGTTGGCTCTGCAGTTCTCCAAACAGGCCCACTATGAACAAAAGTGCTCCGATTTAGTCACAGTCCCCCGTGGAGAGGTCACTGACCGCCTGTTAAATGAGGTAATTTAGACACCCACTGTTCCACAGTGCTTTCCCATAAACCACCACAAACACGAGAGAGAGAAAATAATGACAGCAGTTTTATTTTTGGATAAATTATTACTCTAATCCACCCCACATAAATAGTTTAGCGCAGAGATTTTGCTAGGAGAGAAAGTCGTAAACTCAGAATGACCAAATAATTTATGGAGTCTGTTTTTTTTTTGGAGATTTAATCTTCCAGAGTTGCAGCACATTTGCATGCTTTCTTATGCAAATATAATTTATTTGACATAATGGCAATAGGGTGCTAAAGGATATAATCTGAAATGAAAAGAACAGTACTCTTGGCTAGAAATAAAACCCAAGTCATTTTTTTTGAACCCAAGGATTCATTTGGTCCCAGAATGCCCTAGTGCATTAGCTAAATTTTTCATTGCTCTTTATTAAAATTTAAATAGCTTATGAAACTTATGAAGTTAATGCACATATTATTTATATATACATACATACATGTGTGTGTGTGTGTGTGTGTTATAACTTATTTGTTGTATTACATGCATTATGAGCATATACGTATACAACCCCATATCCAGAAAAGTTGGTACATTTTGTAAAATGCAATAAAACCAAAAATCTATGAATTGTTAATTCTCATTAACCTTTATTTAACTGCCAAAAGTAAAAAGAAAAGATTTTGAAGTGTATTTTGTAAATACTGCGATTTTTAATGGCTGCAACACACTCCAAAAAATTTGGGACAGAGGCATGTTTACCACAGTGTTTCATCACCTTTCCTTTTAATTACACTTTTTAAATGTTTGGGAATTGAGGATACTAATTGTTGAAGTTTTGCAAGTGGAATTTTTGCCCAATCTCGCCTGATACAATCCCAATACACGCGCCTCCACGTCAATGGTACCTTCACACACATGCAAGTCACCCATGCCGTTTGCACTGATGCACCCTCGTACCATGACAGATGTTTGCTTTTGCACCAAATCTGGATGGTCCTTTTCATCTTTGGGACTGAGAACTCAAAGTTAGTTTTTCCCAAAAACAAGCTGAAACATGGATTCATCTGAACACAGCACACATTTCCACTGTCTTTTAGACCATCTGAGATGAACTCGGCCCCATCTCTGCATTGAACAGATGCATAGATTTCTCCTTGCAGACTGTGTTAAGTGACAACGGTTTCCCAAAGTACTTCTGAGCCCATCTGGCTAAATTTAACACAGTAGCATGATGGTTTCTCATGCAATGCCATCTCAGGGGTCAAAGGTCACACACATTCACCAGAGATCTCCTGCCGGGCCCTACACGGACTGAGATTTCTCTGGATTCCCTGAAACTTTTTTAATATTTTGTATGGTAGATGGTGAAAGACCTAAATACTTTGCAGACTTGCATTGAGAAATGTGATTTTTGAATTGTTTGGCAATTCTCTCATGAAATTTGGCACAAAGTAGTGAGCCATGAACAACTTTGCTTGCAAGGACCAAGTCTTTGTTGGATTTTATACGTAATCACGTTACCCTCACCTATTACCAGTTCAACTGCTAATTGTGAACTGTTACAAAACAGGTCAATTGGATATTCTATGAGTCTTTTCACTCTTATTTTGCCTCTGTCCCTACTTTTTTGGAGTGTGTTGCAGCCATCAAAATCAAAATTTGTTTATTTTTACAAAACACAATTAATTTGGCCTGTGAAAACATTGGACATTTTTTTTCTTTGTGCTTTTGTCAGTTAAATAAAGGTTAAAGAGAATTAACAATACACAGATTCTTGATTTTATTACATTTTACAAAATGTCCCAACTTTTCTGGATTTGGGGGATATATATATATATATATATATATAATACAGATAAATCATTTTATATAAATGATATGTATATAATTATATAATCATTTTATATAATTTTATATAAATTATATCTGTTTATGTGTAAAATAATAATTACCAATACTTATTTACGTAATAATATTTTTTAAATCATAAAAGTTTTCAAGTTATTTTTTAATTCCCAGCATTTCACTGTGGATTTGGCCTTTCGGCTCTCACCGTATGCATTATGGAACACATACATGTGTACATAAGCTTATGTAATATCTCTCTCTCTCTCTCTCTCACTTCCGGTGTGTCTGGGTGCGAGTTGACGGAGTGTGTGAGCGTGTCAGGAGGGGTTGTGAGTGAAACTGTTTTCTTTTTTCTCCCTTTGCTGTTTTTTTTCTGGTCTTTGTTAGTTAGTATTTTTGTTTGTTTTTTGGGCCGCGTGCTTTCCACTTTATCGGGGAAGTATGTCGGCCCCACTTGTGCAGGTTTTGAGTTCACTCACGCGGCGTAATGCGGTTAAAGTGGCCGCCGCGGTGAGTGTGGAGGAATGTTGTTTGGCCATTGGTGAGGTTGTGGGGCATGAGAGCGTGCTATCTGCCTCGAGAATGAATAGTGCCATTGTGGTGTTTCTTAATAGCGTAGATAAAGTCAATGAAGTAGTCGAACACGGAATAGTCATTGGTGGTGATTTTGTCTCTGTTCTTCCTCTTTCATTGCCAGCTAAGAGAGTCACTTTGTCAAATGTTCCACCATTCGTAAGTGATGAAATTTTGACACAAGCTTTATCTCGATATGGAAAATTGGTATCTCCTATTAAAAAGATCCCAATCAATAGCGGATCACCGCTGTTGAAACATATCGTTTCGTTCAGGAGATTCGCGTATATGATCATTCAAGACGATGTCGAGCTAGACATGACACTAAATTTTCGGATTGATAATTTTGAATATGTTGTTTTTGTCACTACCGCGAAATCTAAGTGTTTTGGTTGCGGTAAATCTGGACATTTAATTCGTAATTGTCCCGATAAAGCTACAGAAAAGGAAACAAACGCAGTGAATGAGAGTACTGAAGGTGGTGGTGTTGCGGAGGGTGTTGCCGACATAGTTGAGGAGGCATTGCCGGGGCCGAGCTCGGCTGTGGCGGCGTCGGCAATAGGTGTTCCCGGTGAGAGTGTTGTTGCGTCGATTTCACTGCACTGTGAACATTTGGGCACGATAGGCAACA